ACGTCATGCTCAGTATAAAAACCAGGGGTAGCGTGGGGGCTCGCCCCCGTTCATGACATGCGGTCATTGGTTGGTGAGCAGTTGCATTGTGCATTACCTGCTTTGTATATTTTGTTATTGGTGGTGTTCTCATTGTTACTATTATTGTTCTACTTCATTTTATTTCAATTATTAATCTGTTTTTGTCTCAACCCGCGAGTTTTCCTATTTGTGCCTTCCCGATTCTCTCCCCCATCCCACCAGAGGGGGTGGATGAGTGAGCAGCTGCGTGGGGTTTAGCTGCTGGCTGGGGTTAAACCACGACATGCTGTAACTCATTACTTCGAGAAAGTAGCATTGAATGCATATCCTGAAATGGAACTGTTACGACAATTTGGGCAACAAGATTACAGACAATAGAACAAGTTATTACTTAAACTGTTGGTGATAATATTAAATAGAAAAATAAAGCATAGCTGTGGATATTGAAGGCTCATGGTTCTTTGTGTGACACTGGCCTTTACTTCCTAATTTTTATTTCAGGGTCACAAGTCCTTTACTGCGTTAGTAGGCTACTGCAGAAATCAGTGGGGACTCACAGGCTTTAGTAATTCTCCTTAAGAGCCTAAATATGCATACTCTATAATTAAATTCCTCACCATTTTCACTCGTCCTTTTTTCCCCTCATATAAGAAAAGCTAATTCAATGCCTGCCAGTTCTGTAATACGTGGGCGGCATCTACAAACACCAAAATAACAGTTTTAAAAGGAATCTTCTTGATTATGTGTATTTTATTGAGAATACCCTAACGAGACATGTTACTCCATGTTACACACTTTGAGCTATGGAAAACATTTTGATTGTTGTTCTAAGACAGTAATCACAAGTAGCAATTTCTTTTTCCACCCATCAGATTCCAATATTCACATTTTAAAGAGTTTATGGGTAAAGTTAAAAGAAAGTTTAAAGCAGTTTGGGCAACTTTCTGGCACTTTGAGGTTTAAAACCCAATGCTTTAAACCATTTATGAACCAAAAAACGTTCACTGTAACCTATATCGTTGACTCAAAACCTATAGTGTCAAAGTCATACCAATAACTTGAAATAAAGTTTAATTATTTCATGTTCACAAAATATCAACACTGCAATTTAGCAGTGATCATGCCAGTGTCAACCATTTCATTAAATGTTTAGTGCAAATGTTTAGCAAAAGAAAAGTTAACACAGGATTTTTTGCAAAAATACTCACAGTCCACATTGTACCTCCATTCTTTTCCCTCAGTCCACTGTGACTACAGAAAGCTATTCAAAATGTAGCTGTGCTGCAAAGCAATCTATTCTTCAACCTCAAGAACTGTCACAGCATTTGGCTATTCCTTTTTCTCATAAAAATGGGATAGAGATGTCTTTAGAACTATAGCTATCGTATGTTACAATTTCGGTAATTACTCTAAAGTTATTTTTAAAATAAAAGAATTCCAAGGTAGTGTCACAGCCTATATGTCAGTAAGGTCAAAATTAGTAAGAATTGATTGTTTATAACTGAGTTTACTTTGTCTGACCATTTCACCACCCAATAATTAGACTATAAAATTCTTTTTTACCTGAAATAATTGCTTCATACCACACAGTATAAAAAAAACTGCGAGTACTGAACAAAGCAAATCTTACCTTAAAAAGTAATTCTGAAGTTAATTAGCTCTGGAAATTTTCAAGAGGATTATTAGGTCATTACTCCACTGCTAGGACAACTATCTAGAAGCCTGCAAAGTTAAGAACTTGGCTATAGTCTGTTTAAGGAAGCACTTACACCAAAGCATTAACAACATACAAAATAATCAAGGACAGTATCCAAATGTCAGTCTTTCGTCAATACGGCTTTCTGTATTGTATCTTAATTAGAATAAGAAGCAGTTCAATACCAACTTTTTTTGTGAGACATAAGTTGAAGATTTCTCTGTAAAAGAAAGTAACTTCCTTGTAGATGCCAGCATAGAAGTTCAGCAGCTTCATGAAACACTTTTTAACTCCAGTTGGTGTCACTTATTAGCAATTTGCCTTGAAAAAGTTTGTGTGAAGTTAAATACTCTGAAGGGCATCTTCAAGCACAACAAGACAGCCCAAACTATCATCCACAGTGAATAAGTGCATAGCAGACAATTATTTAAAAGGAATCTAGAAAAAAGTGTACCATAACATTTCTTTAAGCACCATCTGAAAAAACACACTAAAACAAATTCTTTCTATGTCCATCTATGCTATTTTGGCGTAAGATAGTTGAAGTACTGCAAACAATTCAGAAAACACCATACAAGAACCAGTATCATACAGTATCAAAAAGGAGTATTTTAAATGCTTTTAAATGCTGAATTCAAGTCAAGAACCAAAAAGGCTAATTCTAACGGTAAGTACTTTTCCTAACTGACCTCACACGGACAGCAAGCTATTGTATTTGTTCAAGATTATTTTACTGTTTCGGATTAAGAAACACATTAATTGCACACATTTTGGTGTGCAATTTCCGTTTGTGATAGCTTTGGCAAGAAGAAACACAGCGAAAACATTATATTGGCCTTCATATAGGCACAGACAGTCTTTGCTTTATCTCTATCATATTCTTCAAGTGTTAATATTTATATATTAATATATAAATTGTTACTAACAATATTATCACCAAAAAGATGTTCTAACATTAAAAACCAGAGGTTCTTACACGGATAGGACTACGCTAGTGCGCTGAAGGACAGTCAGCACTCAGAGTTCAAGTGTTCATTGTTACTTAGAAAGGAACTAGCTATTTCATGCCTAACAGAACTTACCAAGCCTGGTTTACTATGTATACCCATATATTGCTCCACCAAAACACCCCCAGTTTTGCTCCCACCACAAGCATTTCACCATCCTTCCATGGTAGCACTTCTACTTGTCCAAATGATATAAATTCCTCTCACCATACTCCAGTATTCAGAGTCCAGCTACGACGTTTGCAAACAGCAGCATGTGCTGGCTTTAAACTGTGTTTGACAGAAGACGTGGCCTGAATTTCCACTGAAACCTTTCCTTCTGTGTGGCAGTATTTTGTTGCTTCCTCTCCAGCCATCTCTCTCTATCCATGAGATTTAACTTCATGGAGTAACATATTTCAGGAAAGCCAAAGACAGCTAAATACAGTAAGCTGTACCTGCTCATCTCTTTGTTTCCACTCCTGCCAATTTTCTTCCCGAGAGTCCTTCTGCATTGCAGTGTGCAGTTTTTGTTCATGCTGAGATAGACAGCCTCCACGTGAGGATTTCTGAGGAATCTTTTTAAAAGCAAGGTTTCTGAGCTGAAAAACAGTTATTTTTAACAATCAAAATGTTGACAAGTATACAGAAATGGACTTAATGGACTAACAAAGGCATTCAGACACATGTGCAAATAGACATGCATGTGCTTTACCTTACTACGTAGTTTGGGATACATTTTTGTGTAATTTTTTATTGTACACACCATAATGTAAAGTTATGGAGAACTGTGATCAGAAACACCACAGCCACGTAACATTAAAAAATGAAAAAGTAAATATATTTTGCCAGCTGAAAATATTTTCAACAAATCTGAAGAGGTAACTGTGTCTGACAGATTTCATGCTGGATCAGGTATTATGGTGTCCTCACACCTGACCCAAATTAAATACATTGCCAAAGAAAAGGTGGTATACACAGATTTGGCATCAGCAAGCAGAGGAACTAGAGGTTCAGGTAGAAAAAGAACAATGTAGAGAGTCCTTACAGTTTGTCAACAATCTAAAGTTGGTCACATTTTAAGAACCTGCAATAAGAATTATTTTTAGTTGCCGCACCATACGGATACAACAGTGCCATCTTAAAAATACCTTACATAATTATAAAATTTGATAATAAACAAGTAACCTGCAAATTTGGCAGCTCAAAGACATTCATTGCACAAGCTTAAACATTAACTGACCCTCTGGTCCTTACTTGGAGTGAAAATAAAGGCACCAATACAATCTACTATCAATTTAGAGACAGGGATTTCCTTAACATAAAGGCTTCTGGAAGGGAGAAAGAAGCTATTATCAGATGAAAGATGAAACAGAGAGAAACAAAGTACAGTAACAGTGTTCTCCTTAATGTGTGTTTATCAAGTGTCACGACTTCTTCTTAAAATGGCAGCTCACCTTAGCTTAAAGTTACTTAAAATCAGGCAGTAATGAAGATACTTCAAAAGAGTTTTCCTTTCCCTCCGAACAGTCCCTTGCCATACTGCCTTTTGCTTTGCTACTGTCTTTCTTACCGCCTGCACCAGCACTACAACCCCTGCTTCCTTCTTCAGATTACACTGCAGGCCATTCTGATTTATAATTTCAGTGGAGTGTAGCCATAGGCATGGTACATGCTGAGGTGAAGAAAGTGAGTCAGCCCTTACTTGCCCCTCTGCCACCACAGGAATAAGTATCATTTCCGTGCAAATGAGTTTCTGGAGATATATGCAATGCATATGCATACACACAATTATTTTGATGGCGTTAAAAGTTTTGATGGTGGTAAGGCAGGCATAAAGAAACATCAGGGTATGCTTATTGAAAACTTAGTCTTCAATATAAAAAGAACAGCATCAAAGCTGAAAAAAAAAAATCACTTTATTTAGCATTACTGCAACTACTATTTTAAGGCTTAGTAGATATTAAAAGAAAAAAAACATGGGTTTGGGCGTTTTGTTTGTTTTACATACTAAATTTGGTAAGAGAAGTTTCAGGCAGAATGATTATCTCAGATCAGTTGTCAGGCATGGCAATCTAGAATTCCAGTTCCCAGAATCTTGGAACAATTCTTTTAGTCTCACTTCTTAATTTCCATTTCATCTGAGGTTTAAGAATCCCAGTGTCAGAAAAACACTGCTGTTCTACACTCCGCCTCCCAATTCACAGGAAAAAAAAAACCGCCTTGGACTTAATACATTAAGGGGCTAGAGTAATGGATAAACCCAAAAATTACAACTTAGGAAACCAGATTTTAAAGCTCTTCAGACAGAGTAGGTAGGTCTAGTTATCTCCTAAAAAGAAAAAACCTTGAAAGCACCTTTGAATTTTAGCATGCTGGCTGTCCAAGCAGGCAACTAGAACTGACTACCTGCAAACTTCTGAAAACAAGTTGTTTCCTAGCAATCACTTTTTAGAAAGGTCATTCTCTTCATCATAAATTAATTATTCAAGTGGTGCTGTCAAAAAAGTAAAGCCTAGCAATTTATTCTCATTAAAAATTTTCAACTTGTATAGTAGGGAGTTTCCTACTTTTATATAAAGAATTCTTAATAAAGCAAAGGAAAAAAAAAGCAGTCTCTGTGACTAAGTAGCATTTGTTTCATAAAAAACAAAACAATGACTTGTCAGGGGCAGAAAAAATTATTTATCAGATAACAACCTTACCCACTACTGAAAATATAATCCCTTTACCTCATTGGCCTCACTCTGCTGCTGTTCCTTCTTTTTTCTCCTTTTTTTTCTTTTTTTCTCATTTGTAGATGACCTTGCCCCCAAAGCCTGAGATTTGCTGGCACCTCGGCCACTTCTTCCTTTTCCAGGCTCCGAATCAGTATCGCTTTTGACTTGTAGTAAAGCAAAACGAGACGCAGTGGTAGGAACTGAACTGATTATTGAAGATGCCATTGCCACATCTGAAATTCTACTGAACTGGCTTCTTTTTAATTATTAGGTTTCCTAAGAAAGTAGCACAGAAATAAGAATGAAAACAGTGTTTGACCAAACAATCAATAGTTTGTATCTGTTAGCTGCAGGACTAGTATAAAAAGCCCCAAAACTCAGTATTATCTCCTTATATTTTCACTAAGTTGTATTACCTTAAGTATTCGAACAAGAATTACAAAAAGAGAGAATAATCTATAAAACAACAGTTATTTTAGCCTAATACATTTGTTCCTGAGGGATTATATTTGATGGAAAAAAACAGCAGAAGGCTCTAAAAGAAGTTGGCCTTCATAATCTGGAGGGGAAAAAGGAAAAAAAAAAAAAAAGATAGAGGAATAGCATAGCGCTCCAAAACTGTTTCAGGTGCCATCCTTGGAGCCTGACAAACATACGATTTGAGAAAGCAAGCAAGTATATATTATGCATATTGCGCAGGCTCCAGTTTTGGCTAAGCAGCCTTATTTCTTGTTTTACAAGTAGTGTAATTTTGTTCCCAAGTCACTGGAGATTCAACAAGCAGTTTTCTCCCCAGGAAGGTGAGCCCAGCATTCTGGTTGGTGCTGTTCTCAAATATTAGGCTCACCTATTCTTACAGCACAACACAGAGGATCTGTTGGGGGGAGGCAGAACTGGGAAACACACTTAAGCCTTTTGTTGCCCCCTGTAGCTATAAACAATGCGTATATCCCCATGACACAATTCCAAAGTACAAATAATTTATCTACGGTAAAAGTTGAATTTTTGGCATAGGAATATTTGGCTAGTTGCAAACTTTCCATGCAAAGTTTAGTGAATTAGGAGAAGATTGAAAGTGATGTTATTCCATCAGTGATTATAAATTTCATAGAAAACAGACATCTAGCTATGTTGACGTACTATGATAGGGAGATGTAGTGAAATACTACATACTTTTTGAAAGTGCTGTTTGAAATGAATCCTGACAGTTTGACAACTGTAAACTTAAGTTGAATGTGTGTTTAAATGGTCTACAAATGTGTTGCTTGTTAACTATTATTACAGAAGAACATGAGAATCTACAGAAATTTCAAGAGATTGTTTTTATCGCTAAATTCCAGACTTTCTCAAAGATAAACCTCTACAGGTGCTCTAAAGATGCTCAGACATATCAACAGGAAACAATGCTATGGTAAATGGTCATCATCGTGACCACTACCCAAAAGAATTATTAAAAAGCAGTATCACATTTTATTTCTCAGAGGTGAAAGAGAATGAGCAAGTAAGCTAGTACTGTTCTTACTCAAAATTTACCAAAGACAAAGGTTACAGTGAACAGCATTCTTCTCATACAAAAGTTACCCTACTCTATTTCTTTCAAAAAAGGAAAATGAAGCTGATCATATGAAGCTGATTGTATCCTAAGAATAAAACAAACTTGACATCAAATTGTGATTTTACCTGATGCTGATGTTCACACTCTCTGATCAGACCACAAGCACAGATCTAAAAAAACCACCTAAGTCACATCTAAAATACCGTAATTAGTACCTGTAACTCTCTTTAAATGATTAAGTAACATGGTAGGTTTGGATTTTCCTGGTTTTGTGTATGTGTGTTTTTAAATGCATTTTAATACTCAGTAACTCTATAGTTATCCTGCTTAGGAGCTTAGTTACAGCTGAGAGATGTCGTGCTACTACTACTTGAACACGCAGTAAGCTGAAACCTGAAACTCAGAGAAAAGATTAAAGATACATCTTCACAGAAAAATAGCACCAAAGATAGATGCTCAGTCATGCTGTAACAGGAACTTACAATACTGGATAGTGCTCTTGGCACTACACCAGACTACAACAGTCTTAGCAGTGGAAGTTTGTAAACTCTCTACTGTATTTGGCTTTTAAAAATAAGAAAAAAAAAGAGCGCACTACAGAATGACTCTTGTCAGTCAAAAGCTTGGCACTTCTAGTCTCTGTCTACTTACTGCAATACATTTTGGTTTTCATACAAACAGATAAACAGGACAACACAGTCTTTATTAAGTTGTCAGCTGCTAATGGTGCCAAACACTTTTTTTTGCCCATACAATTTGAAAACTTTTCATATTTTCAAGCTGCAGTGATAGCAGCTAGATCCTTTGTAGATACAATTTAAGAGAAAACATTGTCCAAGATACAATTATTAGTCACTCTAGAACAACAGATCAAGAAAGACAAAAAGAGGTTGGACTTAGCCATAGCAGCTGAAACTCTACATCGCTATGAAGTAAGGCTGCAAACTCCTTTCTCCGTTTTCAATAAATACAACAAAAATACAACAGGTTTACCTTTGCTGTAGTTGGCATACAATTAAATGCCCAGCTGACAAGCATATTAAGCAAGTACTACCCACAAATTCTGCCGTTGTAATTCACTGAAATACTTCAGTGACAACATGAAATTAATTTACAGAAGTTTATTTGTGAATTACATTTGTTTCAACAGAACACAAAAAATGGACAGTAATGAGCTTGTAGAGGAAACTGCATGTAGAGGAAAATACATGAGATTATAGATTATTTTTCAGTTAAGTTTAGAAGAGCTGTTAACATTGCTAACTCAGTTAGTAGGACATTTCAACACAGCTATTCATATTACAGCAGGATCTAATCATTCCACTTCTGCAACACTTAAAGACAGATCCAGTGATTCACTGAGGCCTACCACCAAGCCATGCCTCACATTTTAATACCACACCTACAATTCTGACAGCCAAATTTTACCAAGTACCTAATATTTCAGTTCCAAGATTTGACTCCCCCCCCGTCCTCCTTCCCCCCATAGGAAACCAATGGACTGATCTCAAAAGCTTTCAGTTAAGCATACTGCTTGCCATCCCTTTTACAATGTTTTTTTTTTTCCCTTTAACGGAGAATTATAATTTGTGTTGTTCTTTATTATTACAGATATGAACAGTCTTAGAAAATTAAAGCATTGACATTCTTGAGCTTGAGGCTGTGCTCAAAGAGGCTTTTTGATCACACAAAAAAAGCATTCAAATACCACACTGTTTTTTAATTCCACAGATTAAACTAGGATCTGAAAAATCATTTTAACCTTTACAGTCCTTTCAAGAAAGAGTTTGACAGTCTGAGAAATGTTATGTGTTCATAACAGTCAGTTGGCCAAAGGCTATCTATCCAAATACAAGACAATTCTTTTCCTTACGATACGGAGTACAGCGAAAATCTCCAAGAGGAGTAACAGGAAGCAAAGCACGCTTGTGGCATCTACACAGCTCATTAACACCTCAAGTGAGGCCGCAAGTTAAAAAAAGCCCAACAAACGAACATCAGTACTTGGAGTTGCTCCCACCTGTGTCATGCATTAGTGCTAGTCATACAATTCTGAGACGACTTTCTGTAACGTACCAAGAAAACAACTAACCCTCCATTTTCATGTTAATGAAAAGATCACTGATAATGGATTTCAAAGTTGCACCACCACTGTGGCATCGATACACAGGTGGCACCAATAAGTGACCCAGTTTCAACCTTTCTGTTTTGCAAATCACTAGCAGACTATTAGTTCAACTGTCTCTGCAATCTGTTTCAAATTATAAAGTTTGTAAAAAGAGTTCCTACCACCAAAATGACATGTAACTCAGATTCATGTATCGACACCATAACATAAGCATGATACACCATATAATTTCAAGGCAACATAAAAGCATTTGTTATGGCTAGCAAGTAGTAATTTTTTTGGTGCTCTACTCATTCCTAGGTCATACTCTCCTATAAATCATGTCAGCCTACATGAACAGGTTATTTTGGAATTTTATACTAAATCAATAAATTATACCAAGTTGGTCCCATTTATGAAACACGTAATGTATTACTTTAGCATGTCTGACACAGTAATTTGTAAGCACAAAGTGCTTACTCTACCTGAAGTTCTTGGTAAACAAGGAGACATATTTAGAAACTTAAATCATTACATGACCAAAGAGAAAAGGTATCTTTTTAACTTCAGTTCCCTGAAGTGTACTAAGTATTATTTCAAAGACATGAGATTGGTCGGTGCCCTGAAGAGCTTCAGTATCGTTTTAGACATGATGTAACAAAGATTGCAGTAATAAAAGTAACATGCTCATCTGGTGTTACCGTAACTTGAAATCCCTTTTGTATCAGTTACTCACATTCACCCGCATGTTGCAGGTGAAATGGCTTTTGAAATACTTAAGTTTTAAAAACTCTACTGTCCAATACATATACTAAGACGAGTTTAACACGCATCCACAAACTTCTTTTGTTTGAGCATCAGCAGCTTCCTGGCCTGTGTGCAGCTTTGCACATGTGCATGAGTTACCATTTAACTGGCAAGCGGTCAAGCACCTCGAAGCAGTGAGCACTACACCACAATTTAGGAGCCTCTGGTCTGACGCTAGCAGTACACCTTTAAGCATCTGTGAAATAACCACACAGCTTTAGATGTGGGGCTTTACTGTTTCAAGGAAAACATGCTGAAGAGCCCAAAAATATAACCCATTTCCTATTTAACCACTTTCATCATCAAATAAACCACTAATAAACATGCAGATTTTACAAAACTTTGAAAATAGGGTATTGTCACACTAAAGCTTCTTCCCACATACAATCTATTTGTTTCTACCACTAAAATACATATTTATGACAATCTACAATCAATATACGTTCTTAGCAACACCCGAAGTATTGACTGACTTCAGTACTTGCCTGTAAAACTGAAATAACACTAAAATACACAGCATACGTAAATGAAGGAACACGTCCATTCCCTACTGGCACTGATCAACCTTCGCACCTTCTGCACATTACATATTGATCTTTGGCTGTTTATACATTTACCACAGCAAGCTCAATCTACTTTTCCTTATTACTGCATTTACAGAAAGTTTTGCACAGGATGTCCTCCCTGTTGGACAAGCTCTCTCCATTTAAATTTTGTTTTATGCTATCTGATCAAAAGCTATAAAGGTGGATTAAA